ATACTAGATGCCACTTTATTGACTCAGAGTTGTACAGGGTGATGGCCACAGGCAGGAATGACTTCCTGTGGTGCTTTGTGGTGCATCTTGGGGTCATGAGTCTGTCACTGAATGTGCTCCTATGTCTCACCAGCACATGGTGGAGAGGGTGGGAGACATCGTCCAAGATGACATGTATCTTAGACAGCATCCTCGTCTCTGACACACTGTCCCACTAATAATCAGATTAATAGTGCAGTCAGAATAAAAATGCTCTATGTAACCACCTTAGTCGCAAGACGGGCCTGGTTGGAGAGAATTTTCAATCTGGATGAGAGGGTTGGGGGTCAACCTTTGATAATTTGTTCAGTAGGACAATATTGGTGCCTGATAACTGTGTAAATGTGATTGTTTGTCTCTGGTTGGAATAAATATTCTCTCTCCACATGTTTGCCCCACGGGGGGGGGGGGGGGGGGGGGGGGGGGGGGGGGGGGGGCTAACATCAGGTGATGTAGCTGGTGCGTGCACTGTACAGGACATGCCACAACAAGTGCTTCTACGTGCCCCCCATTTGAAACAGTGGCCTTATGTAACGTTGTTGCTACAGGCTGAACTGTGGAGTCACCGGACGTAACAATCGTCCATGGTAGTTTGCCATATAAACTTTATATGCTGATGATATGTCAATGTTGAGTTTAGAGCTTGTTTTGCTGCCCCCAAGTGGCCAAAAAAAGACCCCAATTAATATTCAGATTTTTCTGCCACCCTTCCTTTTAAACCAGCTATTTTTTCAAGCATTAAAATTAGCAACAAAACAAGCTGTAGTTGAAGTGAAATATCTGTTTTGTACGTCATGTGTCTAACGTGCTAACCTGGATCTCGCTCCAAGCATAATAGCACCTGAGCACACTTGTTTATTGTTCCCACATAAAACAAATTCATTACCAATAACCATGTCAATGCTCAATGTAATTGTTTCTCTCTGGTTGGAATAATTCTTTCTGCAGATGTTTGCCCCACGGGGTGGGGGGTGGGGGGTAACATCAGGTGATGTAGCTGGTGCGTGCACTGTACAGGACATGCCACAGCAGCTGTTTCTACGTGCCCCCCATTTGAAACAGTATCCTTATGTAACATTATTGCTACAGGCTGAACTGTGGAGTCACCGGACATAACAACTGTCCATAGTAGCAGCAGCCTGCATATGAGATGTTCAGGTAACATTGGTAATTTGTAGTCTTTACCGATGTGAGGTGAGGACATCTGTAATTTGTAGCTGCAGGAAATAACCTGGTTACACTTTTGTTACTTACTACAAAAATTGTATTCACAAAACCACTTCTTCTTCTTCTTCTTCTTCTTCTTCTTCTTCTTCTTCTTCTTCTTCTTCTTCTTCTTTTCTCAATAAGGTTTAAAAAGCTTTTTCTTCTTCTTCTGTTAAATTTCCAGCAGATTGGTTGCTTCACAGCAGGCAGAACCACTTTGCACAAGTCAGAAAAGTTTTATTCTGATGGAAATGCATATCCTATCAGGTCACTTCGTTTAACGTCCATGTACATAGTTTCGTGGGAATCTCTAATCAGAATAATTTCTGTCGGACTGAAGAAATATTGTCCATGTAACCGCAGCTAATGTTACAGGTGTGCAATGGTGAATCAGTGGAGTACTTTGCAACTCAGTTATTTTCTGTATTGATTATTCTGTCTGTTATTTTTCCGACTTAGCATCTGGTCTATTAAGGTCAGAAAATAGTGAAAAATTAAGTTAAGTGAAATTAAGTTTCCTAGAGCCCAAAGTGACATCTTCCAACTGCGTTTTTTGTCCAACCAATAGTGCAAAACTCAAAATATGACGTGCAGTAAATTGAACAGAGAAAAGCAGCAAACCCTCACATTTGAGAAACTTAAATCAGAGAATTTTTGCTTTATAAATCAATAATCAAACCACAAAGTGCATGTATATATGTTTGCCTGGGAGCTGTACAGCTTATACATTATACAGTTTGCATCATGTCCCAAAATATAAATTCCACCTGCTTCTGGTAGTGCATACAGAGCATATTACCAGGGGTCTTGAAAGGATTAAAAAAACATGTAATATCTGACAAAGTTGTGCAGTGCTCAGCTGTATATGTGCTGGTTCATTTGCAGGGCGGGGCTCGGACTGGGAGCCTTTGCAGAGCAGCAGCAGTTGTGTTTGGGGCCAGAGCTGCTGGCCGGGCTGCAGCGAGTGGCTCAAACAGAGCGGCCTTTGTTAGCCGGGGACGCCGGAGTCCTTGTGACCAGAGCTGCCACTCCCTTTTTGGACAGAGGACCCAAGCTAACAGGGTGGCTTGAGGGAGGGATGGGGTGGGGGTTAGTGAGGGGCACAGGGTGGGAGGCTGTTGAGGTGAAGACCCCCCCCTCCTTCTTTCCTGCACAGAGACAAGTGGCACAGCAGCAGGCATGGATGATTGATTACACAGCCTGTGCTCTGATTGGTTCTCTCGTGTCGGTTGCTGTGACAGCTCGACCACATGAGGAGGTTGGAGGGGTGTGTCTGGAGGCGGGCTCCTGTCTTCATTGTTGCGACAGTGAATACTTTACCCCTCATTTTGTTGTTCAAGTAGAGCTGGAATTAGCAAAGAGGAGCAGTGATGAATAGTTGCTGTTTGTGTTGCTGCTGTGAAACCTCTCTCAAGAACGCCTACGTGTTTTTTTTCCTTCTTTCTGATTAAGATATAAGTTTCATCTGTACACTGATTAGTTTCATGAAATATCCCGAGCAACCACGCATATTCACATTTCACAAAAGCTAACCTAACATGTTTAATATTCCCTGAGTTAATTTTAGAATTTCATTTCATTTAAAGGTTACAAATTTGAATAACTTTTCACAAAGCACTCAAAGATGCTGCTTACAAACTGCTTATATCAGAGGCAGCAATCATAAAAATACAAGTTTTATACAACACAAAGTTTTATCATAATTTCCTGGTTGCACAGAGAAAAGGGTCTGTTTATTTATTTCTTCCTTAAAGGAATACTTCATCGCCCAAATTTCCATTTACTTACCCCGTGTAAATTTGTGAAGAAATCTTTCTTTCTCAGGCTGCTTTCACACCTGCCCTGTTTAGTTTAGTTCAATCGAACTCAAGTTTGTTTGCCCCCTAAGTGCGGTTCATTTAGGCAGGTGTGAACACAGCAATCACACTCAGGTGTGCACCAAAACAACCAGACCGAGACCTTCTTGAAGAGGTGGTCTCGGTCCGGTTACAAACGAACCCTGGTGCTGTTCGTTTGTGGTGAGAACGTGTTCCGACCTGGATCTGAACCAACTGCAGTCACATGACACATTGTTTGGGTTAAACATGAGCATGTTACAGTCCTGGAGGATTATTAATGTGCACCTCCTCCTGTACTGCCTTAATATGCACATTCAGCACATCCAATGCATCAAAACATTGTTTTCTAGTTGGAGCCGCGCCTCGTTTTCAAACTGTATGGTTTGACTAAAATGAACAATGACAGCAATATAGTCCACGATGAGCAGCGCTAAAATCAACCTGCGTAGTTGTCCCTCCATTGTGACATTAGAAAGTGTCACATTTATCTTGCAAGTGTACTCTTCTTCAACGTTTTTTTTACTTCCTGGATTTTTTCCTTTTGGAAATTCTGACCATTCAAGAGCAGCTTTTTCTCTCAAGGCATTTGATCTGGTCTTCTTGTAAATGCTGCTGTGAGAACATGAACCAACTCTAGGCAATTATACAACTTTGTAACAAAATTAGTCCCTGATTCGGACCAAAGCAAGACAACTCTAGGTCTGAAAGCACCCTTGCATGCCATGCTCTCTTCAAAGCCAGGCTCCATTGACAAAAACGGTAATTTTACCTCACTGAACACAGGAGCTGCTGGTCTACTGCTGCCTCGATCAGTCGTTTGTCTGTGTTATTGTGTGATTTCGGTCAGTCTGAACTAACACTTTAAAACACCAAAGTCACACAATAATTCAAACAAGCTGCTATTTGAGGCAGCAGTAGACCAGCAGCTCCTGTGTTCAGTGAGGTAAAATTACTGTTTTTGTCAGTGGAGTCTGGTATTGAAGAGAACGCAGATAAGGTTCACTTTCAATTCAGTTCCCTGTTGGAAAGGGCTGTCTGTTTTGCTGTTGTTTGTTGTTTGTTTGTTGTTGTTGCTTATTTGAATTCATTAAGAATTTTCTGAGATTTTCGATCCATCGTTCAGTTGCGGCCTGCAAGAAAAACATTTTCCTCACAAATTCAGTGTAACACAGGATGAGTAACTGATATGCATGTGGCCATTTGGAAGATAAAGTCTTCCTTTAACACAATAAAATGCTAAATTTAATAATGTCACTGAGTAAATAGCAAATAAATCAGATTGTTAGACTCCTCCTCAAATCCAGCCACAGGTTTTATTCAACATTTTTTCCTTCCTGTCCTTCTCTCCCTGCATCTTTTTCATTATAAATTATGTCATTATTAAAACATCCACACAGAAATCTGGTGCTGATCCAAAAATCACAGTGCTGTCTTCTCTGCGTCGTCGCCTGTTTCCCCCTCCATCCATGCATCAGATTATTATTAAGAGTGTGTACAGTGTGTTTATGGGTATCTCTGGGTGTGTGTGTGAAGATGAAGAAAGCCAGTATCAGTTGAAAGACATTGCACGGCCATGTGTTCCTTATCAGAATGCATCCTAAAAAGGCCAAGTGAAGGCTGCGGCAGGTTTGGCTTATTTATCTTGTGTTGCGAGTGCCAATCCGCCCTTTTATGTGACATTTCCCAAAATGTCTTTCATCAAATGCACTTAATCCAGCATCCAGTCGGGCCAAATCGGATACTCGCCCTCATAAGCGTATTTTTATAGGCGTCTATAAAGCCCCAGAGCAGCGTTGACGTGTTCAGGTCTGCAGTGTCCGGTTCCCACAGCTTTACATCAGCTTTTCCTGAGGAAATTTTGGATGTGTGTAAATGTAGTGAAATGTGCAGCTACTTATCATCTTTATTGTTTTCCAGAGCGACCGTCTCCTGATCAAAGGAGGGAAGATCGTGAACGATGACCAGTCCTTCTGTGCTGACATCTATATGGAGGATGGAGTCATCAAGTGAGTTTACTGTTTTTTTTCTCAAACTGTTGACAGTAAAAATCAGATTGCACCATGTTTACATAATACATCCACATGTCTGACTTTTATCTCTTTTTATTACAAATACAAAAAGGGGAGTAGTGAAAATAAAACAGTTTGCCTACATTATGGATATGGATCTGACTTACAGACTTACACAGCCCGTCACTCAAGCAGTCCTGCCTTTAAATATGCGTAACTTTGGGCCTTGATAAAACATAAATGGATGAGTTATTTAAAAAACCTCCGTGCAGTTGTTATGAGTGTTGAAATTAATTATAGAGACCAAAACTGTTTTTAGTTCCAGGCTGTAAACATGTTTACTTGTGCTGTAAAGTTGGGCATTTTAACATGGAGGTTGGTGGGGATTTACTCTGTTTTGGAGTCAGCCTCAAGTGGCCATTTGTTGTTGAGTTTTTTCTACATTGGCATCATTTTTCAGCCTCGGAGGTTGCCACTTGTTCTATCCCTAGATGTTACTGTAGATTGAGCACTCACTGCTGCTTTCACACTGCACTCTGGTACAGGCAGCTGCTGTTCCAGAGCCATGGTTAGTCTGAGTGAGAGGTAGCTGCCTGGAGGTTGAGAGGCTTTGCACCGTCTTGCTTTGAGAGAACGTTATCTTCTGCTTTCTGCTTAGAAGTGATGAATTTACAGCTCACAGCAGCTTGATACGATAAAGTCTTCTATAGTCTTAGACACACTTACGCCTCCATAGTCAGTATGTGGAACATTTGATACCCAGCTTCTGTACCCCTATGTTCACCTTTTGGGGGTACCCCACCTACAAAGGGGTGACTTGTGCCTTTTCGTCTAATTTCTGATAAGATAAGTTTATAAGTTAATTTTATGCAAACATATTCCTATGTCACTTGATTTATGTAGGGGCTCGAGTTAATATGGTTGTAATTGACATAACGCAGACAACACTAGTGTCCACAGGTGAGACATGGGCGCTGCTGTCACCTTGAATGTCCCGCTGAACCTCGTTTGAACTCTCAAACTCCATATGGAAAAAAAAGGAACGAATGGTCAAATATTTGTGTTCAACAGCCAAATCTAATTCGACTGAGATAAGTCTGAGTTGGGTACAGCTCTACATTTTTGTATTTGTTCATCAAATTATCAACCTTTTTTTAAAAAAAAAAAATTGTAATTTAATACATTTTTTTCTTCTCCTCATTACAACTGTTTGATGAATTCCCATACTCAAGTTAACTTAAATACAATCATCTTTTTCATTTCAAGAAACATTCCTTTCAAATTATTTTGCATTTTGCACATGATAAGTTCTGTTTTAAAGTCAACAAAGTATAAAATTAAATATATAAAAAATGCCTGAAATGGGGAACCTTTCTTAATTATGATCATAAATACAAATTTAAAGCTTATACTGATGGTTGTGTAATGTAAAAGCTCATATCTTTGTTTGGCATTCAATTTAACACAATAAATCCTCTTTGTTGTTGTTTTTTTATTCAATAGACATATGATGTTGTTATTATTGCTATGGTATTGTGATGTCTGGATTGCTTCATTAAAGAACACAGTATTTAAAACAGGTGTAAAGTTGAAATTTGTTTTCTGTTCTCGTTTCTTAGTTATTCTTTGCTCTGTTTTGTAAATTCTGACGTTCTTTTCTTCAGACAAATCGGGGAAAATCTCATCGTGCCCGGCGGGGTGAAAACCATCGATGCCCACGGCCGCATGTTGATGCCAGGTGGCATTGATGTGCACACGCGTTTCCAGATGCCTGATCGAGGCATGACCTCTGCTGATGACTTCTACCAGGGCACCAAGGCCTCACTGGCCGGAGGCACGACCATGATCAGTAAGTTACTGAGCAGAAAGATCCTTCTGTTTCATGCATGACCTGATGTATCAGTTCTTTCTGAGTGCTTTCTGTGAGTGAATCAAAGCTGATTGAGGTGTTCGCCGCGCATCTTGCCCTGCAGAGGTTCCTCATTCACTTATTGGCTTTAATTGAAAATCTCCTGGTGAGAACAGGAAGGGTGCCAGGCCTGTTCATGACCGAGCCAAAATATTAAACCGTCCATCTGCTCTGAGGACTCAGAGCCACAAGGAGCTGACTGCTGCTCAGACTGAGCCAGGAAGCCAGTTAATTTCCCTCTGGACACATAGATACTGAGGACTTGACATTGTTATGTTACACACCCACTATGGATCCGTTTCCTCATATATTTTAGACTTCTTCTTCTTCTTGGAGTTCTGTTTTGATTTGCATAATGTTTCATATAAATCTCAGGCTTGTTCCCCCTGGGTTGGTTTGGGTTTCCTCTTATGCTGCTCAGGTCAACGAGAAAGTATAAATTATTTTCCAGACACAGGATTGTTAGTATTTGTGCATAATTTAATATCTACTAGCTTAATGCTATTGGCTGGTGCCATGTGTATGGTGTATTCCTTTAATATGGGCAGCCTAATAGTCAATCAAGCATTAGTCGACCTAAAGGTCATTCGTCGGCAAGATTTCATTGGTCTCTTAGTTGTAGAAAAAACAAAAATAAACAGGATAATTTATTAGGAGCTGTACCTTGTCAAAATAAATCAAAACCTATATGACTGGACCATGTGGGAGTTTATTTGAAAGGACAGACACAGGAAGAGGCCACGCTCAGCAGTCAGACAGGGGCTGAAATTGCCATCCTGAACCACAGAAGCAGAACAGTGGCGTCACAGAATCGTAGCGCTCAGCCTCTGCTTTCCCCCCAGGTTAACGATGTCACGCTCTGTCAGCACTGTTGCCATTGTTAGCACTGCGTTATAAGCTGCTAGCTGCTAGCTACTGGCCCAGCCACCTCCATGTTGAGAGGCATTTGCAGGCAATCCTGGCTCACACTCTGAATCAAAGATATGCCTCTTTGAATAGTTGAAATCTAGATAGATTTGTTGCAATTGAAAGGGATATTGATTCAATAAGTAGATTTGTGGCTACATTTTGTCTGTATACTCTATCAGTCTCCAGCTGTAACAGTGGCTTAATTTAATCGTCACATTATTTAAAAGAGACACAAGGCTGTAAAGATAAAAAAGCTAATGTGAAAAGATAATAAAATTTAATTAGGCTCTGGCCCTCCCTCTGCTGACTCAGCAGCTGAACTCTCCTCTCCCTCACAACACTCCCACTCAACTCGTGTGTCGTTGTCACCTCGGGAAAACGCTGACTGCTGCAGGGTCCGGCAGGTCTGGAACATGAATGTAATGCATAGCAGCCCGATGACTGGAATGTCAGTGGAGTGCACGTCACAAGTGAACAGATGTGACGGCACCGAAAATGGAAAGTGACAAAGACAGTTTGAAATGTGATTTGAGAAGCCAGACAGAGACAAACTTTAAAATGTTGGATTTGAATTAGATTTAAAACCACAGAAGAATATGTTTAAAATCTGCTTTGCAAAAACCAAGATTAGACCTCATGCTCCATGTGGTCTGGAGTTTGATGTAATGGCTCTGAATCTGGTCTAGATATGTCTGAAATCAGATGCAAGCTTCCAGTATGGACATAAAGAGACAGAATCAGAATCAGATTCAACTGCGGTTACATGATTGTGGAGCAGCAACCGCAAGGGTTTTGTCACCCTTTAGTTTCAGTCATGACTGTGGGACATACATCGTCAGATCTGAGAGCCCAAGGGCTCTAAGAGCTAGTAAATAAGGTCTGTGATGTCAGATTGGGCCTCACAGTTACAAGCCTTGAAAGTGATCAAGTCTTAAACTGAATTCTACAGTAAACAGGGAGCCAATGAAGAGAGGATACTACAGGGTTGATGTGCTCGCATTTTTTAGTACCAGTCATCATCCTTGCAGCTGCATTTTGGACCATCTGTAGATGAGTTAATGAGGATAGGGGAATTGACTCGAGTTTAGAAATGGTTCTTAACTGATGGAAACTATTTGTAACAACAGAACTGATTTGCTTATCAAGACAGAGCCCAGAATCAAATATAACACCAATGTTTATTGCATGTGACTTGACCATATGGGGCAAAGAGGGCTAGCTTACGGGCAAGATGGCTTCTGGATTTGTAGGGACCTAAGATAATTACTTTTTGTACTGTTTAGCTGAAAGAAAAATATTTGGCATCCAGCTTTTAATGTCCTTGAGACAGTCCAGGAGAGGCAATTGGGAGTCCCTAGATGTTAGTGGGAGGTAAAACTGTGAATCATCAGTGTAGAAGTGACAGGAGATGCTGTACTTTCTAATGTTTCCAAGAGGGAGGATCTACAGGCAGAACACAACTGGGCCCAGGATGGAACCCTGGGGGATCCCATTGATGACAACATTGGCAGAGGAGGAGGAAAACTGACCTGTAAATACTGAGAATGTCCAATGACTAAGACATGACTTAAACCAATTTAGTTATATACCCATAATACCCACCCACTGTCAAAAGGATATCATGATCTGCACTGTTGAAGGCAGCATTAGGAGCTAGTAAAACCAAGATGGCAGTCCTCCCAGAGTCAGCAGAGAGCAACACATCATTTGTCACCTTTAGGATTAGCCGGTATATTGAATATCTCTGGTTTTGCTCTCTCAAGCACATTAAAGACGTCACCTTGGGTTCTGGGAAATTGTGATGGTCTTTTAAAACTATTTCCGGACGTTTTAAAGGCTAAACAATAAATCATTTATTTGAAAGACCTGTCGACAGATGAATTGGATGAAAATAATTGTTTTTGCAGCCCTAATGTGAACACACATTCTTTCCTGACCGAGCTGACGGACCACACATCAGCAGATGTGAGCCATTACATTCACTCATGCTTGTCTGAAAAGTAACATCTTCAACAATACCATCTTGAGCTCATATAGCGTTTGTCTTTGTGTGGTGGAAACCATGAGCAGATGGAGCATATGATTTGTACTTTGAGCTTGGCTCGGGTTTGTACAAAGACAGGAGTCATGTATCTGGTAATTCTCAAAGATCAATAACAAGCGGTCACTTGAGACAAAGTTGAAACATATTTGGCCAGCTGGTGTGAACTACAATCGGTCTCAGTTTGTTCCAGACCTAACAACATAATAACAGATAAAAGCATCACAACAGGTTTCAGTCAGTGTGTTTGACTTTCCATGTGTTTGTGTTTGTGCATATCCAGTTGACCACGTGGTTCCTGAGCCTGGCGTCAGCCTCATCTCGGCTTTCGAGCAGTGGCGTGAATGGGCCGACAGCAAGTCCTGCTGCGACTACTCGCTGCATGTCGACATCACCGAGTGGCACAAGGGCATCCAGGAAGAGATGGAGACGCTGGTGAAGGATCATGGTGCGACCTCACCCACACGCAAAGTCACATGTTATTTCATCAGATCCATATGTTACACAGAAACCCATTATTTTTTATTTATTTAAAGCTGCTAAAGCAACTTTAGTTAAGTGTATCAATTCTCAGTCATGTAACCGGATGACGCAACAGCACATTGATGTTTAACAACACAATTTGTTTGACAGAATCCCATTAGGACAAGAGAGGAGCAAGACATCATGTACTCAACCCCCTGTAATAATCTGGATGCATATTAGTTTTTCCTCTCTTGGCACTCATTGTTAAATATTTGATTAGATTAATGAAAGTCACATGTTATCTCATGTTCAGATCAGAGTCTATGATATTTTGGATTAATTTATCCTGTTTAAACCTTCCCTGTCCCTCATGGTTCTCACACTGAAATCTTTTGTTTCTAGGCGTCAACTCTTTCCTGGTCTATCTGGCTTATAAGGATATTTTCCAGCTTACTGACGCTCAGGTGGGGCTTCGTCTCTTCTTGTCATTTCATTCTTTGTCATATCAAGTATTGCAGAGAAATAGAATACACAGAACACATTTTCCATAGGGATGGTGAATATTATATTCAAGGTCAAATGAAAATTGAATAATATCTTAGATGTGGATGGAACTTAGAGGGATTTTGGCATGTTAGGACCATAGACTGTATAAAAATAATAGACAAAGCCACTTAAAGCCAACACCCATTGGTTTGTGGCCTCAAGTTTGGCATTTTGGCCATTACATCTTGGATTTTTGGAGCCATTAGTGACCATCTGTGCATTTAATTACCCATACTACCATACTATTATGTCCCAATGCATAGAATTTCCAAAACAGTATGCCAAAAAAGACCAGGGTGTTCTACCGCATCCGGTCGTATTTTGCTGTTGGCACGCCAGCATGTTTTTCTGGCTACTCTGACTCACAGTCCTCTGCGCAGCGGAAGATTCCTTACATAGTCTGAGCGCAGACAGTTGACAGCTTGTTGACAGCTGTCAGAGGCCGCACTGATGATCGACATCACATTCAACTGACTAATGACTATTCAAAATATAATAATAGGCAAATTAATCAAGGGAACAAAATAATCGTAAAGATAACTAACAAAAAAATGACACAACTATTAAGATACCAGTGCTCTCAGGGTTGACTTCTGTCTCTGGTTAGCTTGGTGAATAGCATTTTGTTTTATCTCCAAGGTAACAACTATATGAACAAGAGGGTTGAGGTCACGGGCGTAATGTTAAGACAAGTATGTCCTGATTGTGTGCATACTACATGCAACAGTAGGTATTTTGTAAGGGTAGCTGCAGTACCTGCTGAAAGTTAAAAGAAGAAGTATGCACATATTTGGGCTGGAGGGTGACACTACACCTATTGCTAGCTGCTAGCATGGTTAGCATGGTGCGTTTAAAGTAAATGCTTCACTGGGATAATGCTAATGCTAATTTCTGCCGGTGAAAACAGACTTAAAACCATTTAAACAAAGTTAAAAGAAAAAAGTATGTGATTTGTGTTGCAGCACATATTTGGACTGGAGGGTAAAGCTAACCCTAATGCTAGCTGCTAGCTTAGTTAGTACGGTGCATTTACAGTTTATGCTTAACTATGAAAATGCTAATACTAATTTTCGGCATTGAGTGAAGGGCTTACAACCATTAAAATAAAATGAACTTACCAGAAAAACTGGTGAGCAAATGATGAGCACAACTTTTTTAGGCAACCAAAATATTACAATTAACTGTTATGAACTGAAGATAGCAACAAATGCACCTATACCATGTGAATCTGGAGTTGCGCCAGGGTTATTTTACCTATTCAAACTTGTCAACGGACAGCACCCACCTGTCACTCAAAGCGACCACGCCCTTAATTATGCATAACTATAAGTCTTACTAATATTTAAATTGGTAAATTATATAAATATTCAGCCCCTGTACAGTTGTCATGAACGGGGAAATTGGCTATAGAGACTAAAACCGTTTTTTTGTACCAGGCTGCTAGCTTGGTTAGCATTTAAAAACATGGCTGTCTATGGGGATTGACTCGCTTCTGGAGCCAGCCTCAAGTGGCCATTTGAAGAACTGCGGTTTTTGTTTCTTCACTTTGACTTCATCTGCCACTTTGTTGGGACACTGCTGTGAACAATGACCTTGATTGGCCGCATGGAGCTGTAGCCTCTACTACAATAAATCTAATTAAACCCTTTAACATGAAACTTGCTGCTGCACATAAATCAAATCCGTACAAATTGCATTCAGCTTGAAGGTCATCGCTGTAGCATGAAATATTAAACATGACAGCACACAATCCACAGACAAAGATGGTGCTGTTTACTGGAGAAGCCACAATAACAACTAAATCACATCTTGTTGACTGTCATTCAGAGCGAGGGCTCAGCCAGAATAGCAATTATTGCAAAAGTAACTTGAAAAGCAGGCAATGATCAGTAGCCAACAATAAGTCGGACATTGTAACATCATGGTAGTCATATCACAGCCTTGATTTGGCTCTTGCCCTCATCCTACAGTCAGAGCTACGGTGTGAGACTGTTTGTCTTGGCGAGAGACGTCGCTTCTTACTCATCATCTGTGTTTTTCTCTCGGGATAGTGAGAGCATGATGAAAGCCACATCTCGGTCCAAGACTCCGTCTGACTCATGGTTAAAATGAATTAATTCCACTTGAAAGCTGTTTTGAAACAGAGCCGTGTTGGTCTTTGCACCTGTGCGAGGAATGAGTTTCTCTCCCGTGTCAAAATTTGACGGCTCTTTATTGTTGCACGTTTGGCAGTCGGCTGGTGATGACTCACTCAACATGTCAGTTTCCCTCCAGTCCATGAAGTTACTGCTATGCTTAATAAACAATCAGGGTGTGGGAGACTCACATACTGTGTCAAAACCAGGATCCATGTTTCATTTCACCACAGAAGTATTCTGAGTCACTGAGGTTATGATTATTTTCTGGTTAATATTGCATTAACCAGAAAATTGTGACGACTGTGTCTGCTATCCAAAATACCAAACCTTCTTTGGTTCCAGCTTCTTTTCTCTGTTTTATATCACTATAAATCAAGATGGGTTTTGGACTGTTGGTCGAACAAAACAAGCAAATAAATTACGCTTAAAAATGAGATAAGTCGGTAACATTTCAGCAGGGTAGACTAAGGCTGCTTTCACACCTGCCCTGTTTGGTGCGGTTCAATCGAAGTCAAGTCTGTTTGCCCCCTAAGCACAGTTCGTTTGGGCAGGTGTGACCGAGACCATCTTGAAGAGGTGGTCTCTGTCCCGTTACAAATGAACTCTAGTGCGGTTCATTGGTGTTGAGAACGTGTTCCGACCTGGATCTGAACCAACTGCAGTCACATGACACATTGTTTGGGTTAAACATGAGCATGTTACAGTCCTGGAGGATTATTAATGTGCACCTCCTCCTGTACTGCCTTAATATGCACATCCAATGCATCAAAACATTGTTTTCTAGTTGGAGCCGCTCCTCGTTTTCAAACTGTATGGTTTGACTAAAATGAACAATGACAGCAATATAGTCCACGATGAGCAGCGCTAAAATCAACCTGCGTAGTTGTCCCTCCATTGTGACATTAGAAAGTGTCACATTTATCTTGCAAGTGTACTCTTCTTCAATGTTTGCTTTACTTCCTGGATTTTTCCCACATGGAAATTCTGACCAATCAAGAGCAGCTTTCTCGTGCAAGGTATTTGATCTGGTCTGCTTGTAAATGCTGCCGTGAGAACACGAACCAACTCTAGGCAATTATGCAACAGAATTAGTCCCTGATTCGGACCAAAGCAAGACAACTCTAGGTCTGAAAGCACCCGAAGTGTCTGCGGCAATGCTAGTAGCTCTGTGTGGCTGTACAGTTAAGCTAAATGCTAACATCAGCATGCAAACCAGGCCCCCAGGAAGTGAGCTGGGTTTCAAAATCAGTAGCATTACTGTAAATCAGTGGATACATTTTTTTGAGTGTCACAACCCCCGTGAAAAGACTTGTTCCACTATCACGACTTGATCTATTCGGTCCATAAAAAATTGGAAAGTTTACAAGAGTTGCACGCTTAAATCATTTAATCCCTATTTGAGTTAGTGAAGCACGAAACAGGAAGTAGCAGGCTTGGCCTGTGGAAGTCTCTAGTCTGCCTGCTGTATGAGCCCAGTGATGCAAAAACAGCGCTGATCATTGGGGTAATTGTATACGTGGCAGTTGAACAATTTTGGCTTCACCACTGAGCAACTTGATGTCCCACCTTAAACGCTGCACCCAGGTCTCTTTTTATACATCCATGATGCTTGTATGCTGACATTAAGCAGATATAATGAACGCCATGTTGTCCATTTTAGTTTTGTCTGTCAGCATGCTAACACTTGCTAACTGTCACTAAACACAAAGTGCAGCTGAGGCTCATTGGAATGTCATTAGTTCTGCAGATATTTAGTCATAAACCAAAATATTGGTGCTGACGGATAGATAAAGAACTTACCAAAGACATTACAATTAATCATGAGGGGGACATAAATGTCTGCACCAAATTTCATGGCTATCCATCCAACAGTTGTCAGGACATTTCACTTAAGACCACAAATGTCAAACTGGGATTGCCATCCCTAACATGGCTAAAAGCACACAAAGAGAAAAACAGCATCTGGTCAGAAGTGCAGCAACTTAGGCCAACATGTGGGAATATTTTCTTGTGATTAAAAACCAAGGTGTATGTCTCTGTTAAACCTTGTATTCTCAGTATTAAAAGAGTATTTTTACCAATGGTATTTTCGTTGATGACTGACATTTTTCTTTTCTTTTTACCTTTTAGATCAAAGACAGCTTTACCACCAAACTAAAGTATTTGTCATTGAGAAAATGCATTGGTAAAAAAAACTCTTAAAGAAAATGGATGTGAGGAAATGGTCGCCCTAAAGAAACACAGAACTCACAGGGTTTCATCAGTCTGGTATAGTAGTGGATGTACAGTAAAGATTAAATTCAAGGTTTGTGTTGACAGACAAAAAGTTGCAGTCATCCATCAGAGATCATAACTGTGTCTTCCTCTTTGCTGCAGGTGTACGAGGTGTTCAGTGTGATCCGCGATCTGGGAGCTATCGCCCAGGTGCATGCTGAGAACGGAGACATTGTGGCTGAGGTATGACATCTCACTCTGGGATCTAAAATAGATAGTGACATGACTTCCTGCTGCCTTTAGTATTGTCATCAAAAGGAAAATGCAGCCCTGAGCTTCAAGTGTCCATGTGGTCATCTGGTCATGTGGAACATGCTTGCACCTTTACATGACTCAACGTCTCCTCTTCCCACAGTGGTCAGTTTTAGTCTGTGTCTATGTGTGTGTTTATTCAGGAGCAGCACAGGATCCTGGAGCAGGGGATCACTGGGCCTGAGGGACACGTGTTGAGCCACCCTGAGGAGGTGAGACAGAGTTTCAGCCTTGTGGACGTAAACTGACCTGTCTGGGTTTGGGGTGAAAAGCTGGTTTGACTTTGGGGAATGAGGAATCATCTCTTAGTTATATTTGCAGAAGTCCTGGACCTTTCCAACTTTCACAGCTGTTCGTGTTGTGTTTGACAGTTTTACATTGAAGCCGTGGCTGTCTCGCTGCCTTGGCAAATACATTAACATCGTCTTCAGAGTCATCTCAGCCGTAGACGCATCACAGATAAAAGCACATCCTTTACATAATCATTGCTGTTACTCAAGAACATACAGATGTGGCAACAAAGTAGAGAAAGTAATTTGAAGTTATGACTTACAGCAGCTGTGTTTATGACTAAATCTTCTATTTTTCTTATTAAATCAATCCCAATTATTATTATTACTGTTTTTATTATCTCTACTGCAAGAACTAAATCATCATTACAAATATCAGGGGTAAATTACAGACAAGACACACAGTGTTCTCTCATCTTGGAACACTCTGTTAATGTTAGTCATTGTACTGTCACAATCCTGTCATCTCACTTTTCAAAATAAATAGCCAAGTTGCTCTTAAGTGTTTTACCTTATTTTTGTTGCTATGGATGGAAAACAGATTGTAAGTACATTAAAGGAAAACGTTCCAACCTGGACCCTATTTTCTCATGTATTTGTTTCTAAGTGACTAATGGGAACAACAAGTTTTGAAATCGGTCCAGTATTGAGCGAGAGTTCTGCAGCCAGCAGCAGCTAGAGAGGAGAAGTCTCGTTCTGAATCCTTGCAGACTTTTACACATTATCAAACTCAGCTAAATATTCAGCCACGATTATAGAAAATATTTTAGATAACACTGAGATACGCTTTCTGTACTCCAGCACAGCAAATTCTTCCCAGCACTCCTCTCTACAGCTCTCCCTTTAATTTTTCTGTAGGGGCTCCTCAAAATATCGTCACACATTACAATCTGATCCTGTCAGTGGCAAAAACAAGCAGTTAGTGGATGTAAATTGATGGTGCCTAATGCCCCAAGTGGTTACGCTGCAGCCTGTCTCATGGCTACCAGCTGCAGCGCTCCTGCTTCATTCGAGACCAGTTCGTGACCAATCTTGTGCAGTATTTTTCACGACATCGTGTGCAATATCACTTTTCAATATCATGTGCAGTAACTCTTATACTTATCTTACTCCTATTGTTACTCTTTTAGGCACTGGTTTTGCGTCTGCTCCTTAGAAGCACTTCTTATCTTGTATATTTTGTCAGATGTTTAATATTATACAGTTCTAAAACTGGGCCCAGTGAGTGACTTTGACCAAGGAACCCATTGGTTGTTCTAGTTTTTACTGGTTGTGACTCTAAATTGTGGCTACTATACTTCATGTTACTGTAATTTGAAGCATTGATTTATTAAACTCATTTTTCAGCTCACTTTGAAAGTCTTTAACTCATTTGATCTGTGTGTAGTATAGCCTATGTATAAGTCTGACAGACCATTAGCTTTAATGTCATCACTCAAAACCCCTCCTTACAGCAAGAAGCAATGGAGGGTGAGAGAAGAAAGAGTGTCAAACTAATGCCATCCATCCACTTTCCATTGTTCCTTCTCTTCTCCAGGTGGAGGCGGAGGCCGTAAACCGCTCTGTGACTGTGGCCAATCAGACCAACTGCCCTCTCTATGTCACCAAGGTGATGAGCAAGAGTGCTGCTGATGTCATCGCCCAGGCCAGGAAGAAGGGTGAGACCCAAAAAAAGACATACATCCGCTCTTGCTAACTATAAAGGGACAGTACACCCAAAATCATAAACACATATTTTTGCTCATACCTGTAGTGTTATTTATCAGTTTAGATTGTTTTGGTGTGAGTTGCATTGTGTTGGAGATATCGGCTCTGATGCAGACATGTTACCAAAACGTCTGTCTGAACAGGTGTGTCTTTAGCTGGCTTTTAAAAGAAACCACAGAGTCAGCAGATCGTAAGGAAGCAGGCAGAGCGTTCCAAAATCACCACGTGTCTTAAGGCGAGTGCGAGCGACAGACAAAACATAAATGGGAGCCTGACCGTGTGATGCTCTATAGGTAAGAATGAGAATTTTGAACTGGATCCTAAAACAGGGAGCCACTGAAGGGATTTTAGTATAGGTCTGTGGATTATCTTGAGTAACCTATCAGGATTTCTGGAAAGCGACATTGCTGTTGAGTTTTTCAGCTGTATTGTTTTGTGCTCGAGCACCACAAGCCGAGTGGCATGTGGTTACATTGTATTGAAGAGAAGGCAGACATCTCTACGGACAATTTCTCAATACTCGGCAACTTCCGCCAAAACAATCTGAATTGATTAAAAGCACTATAGGTAAGAGAGAAAATATGTATTTTTGGGGTGAACTGTCCCTTAAATCAAAATTTGCTGCACACTTGAAACGAAACCTCAGTCTACCCCACTAACACTAACATAAATACTTCATTTGTGGAGTCCCACAAGTCTGTTTTGGGTTTGGACCAGTAAACCCCTACTTACTCACAATTACTCTAGCTGCTCAGCTCTAATCAGACGTGTTGTGCTGTGCTCATACAGTAGATCTTTACAGAAAACAGAGACAGTAAAACCGACACAAACAAGCACAAACAGGAAACATTGCAACAGCCCATTTAACGAGCGCGAAACAAACTCCAGGAGCGTAGTATCTGGTGTTATAATGGGATCTGACTTTCAGGCACTGTGGTCTACGGAGAGCCAATTACCGCTAGCTTGGGAACAGACGGTTCTCACTACTGGAGCAAGAACTGGGCCAAGGCTGCTGCCTACGTCACCTCCCCTCCTCTGAGCCCCGACCCAACCACACCAGACTATCTCAACTCCCTGCTCTCCTGGTAAGGGGATGATGCAACCAAACTGGGCATAGTGAAATTATATAATTGGATTTGGTGTTACAACTTAATTGTCTCTACAATGAAAACCTCTTTCTCTTTCTCCACCTTGACCTTCTGTGTAGTGGTGACCTGCAGGTGACAGGAAGCGCACACTGTCCCTTTAACACTGCCCAGCGTGCCGTGGGCAAAGACGACTTCAGCTTGATTCCTGAGGGCGTCAACGGCACTGAGGAGAGGATGTCTATCATCTGGGACAAGTGTGTGGTATGTATATTTATTGTCTTGTCTTGTCAAATGAAAAAAATGTAAAAATGACTGTGTGCATAATATAAAATAAACAAAAACCATGCACACATTAAAGTGTACATCGCTCCAAAACAATCAACATATCCAAAATTATGTAATACTAAAAAACACAATAGTCCACACTGAGCAGGACTGACTGAATAAAAAAATGCACGAAGAAGAATGGCATGGAGAGGATCGGCAGAACAAGTGAGACCAGTTAAAAGTCGGAGAGCAAAACCTGTACTCACTCTGAGCTCTGATTAATTTCAGGTGACGGGTAAGATGGACGAAAACCAGTTTGTGGCGGTGACCAGCACCAACGCCGCCAAGATCTTCAACCTGTACCCCCGCAAGGGTCGTATCGCCGTGGGTTCAGACGCCGACTTGGTGCTGTGGGATCCAGACATCACGAAGATCATCTCTGCCAAGAGCCACAACTCGGTACCAACTTCACTCATAACTTCATAACTGATAATATTTACCCATTAGTAAGGCCCTGATCACACAGGAAGCGTTTTGTAGGTTGCAAAACGCAAGGCGCACTGGTGGCATTTTTAATTGAATGCCACGAGTAAAAACAACACTTGCTGCGCCTTTTTATTGTTGCCAGGCAACTGCCCCATCACGTCCTTGCACTAACCTTCCCATGTTATCAATCTACCATTGTGTTTTTTCTTACAGTAATCAGTAGCTAGCTCCTAAAATGTTGAGGCAGATGGTACTTGCTCTAGCTCTGGTTGAGGGTGAGAGGCTGTCAGTAAATAGTTTGTTGGTCACAGGGAAACCAAGATCTGTGTGGGTACATGAGACCCTAAAAAAAAAGGAGGATGACTGAGGGGCAGTTTGACAACCTGCTGTCTATTGTCAGCCCGTATAGCTCTGGATATCCAGCAACCGCTACCACCAGTTTCTCTTCGATTGCTTGCCAACTGTAAGCTAGTTGTCAAGACCACCACAGAAGGCCCGCCTCTCAAATGGAAAAAAAGATGACGTGGAGCACTTTTCCGCTTTGAGTTGAAGTTTTTTCAAAATGAGGAGTTTAGAGCGCTCCGACAAAAACGCCAGGCACCTAGAGCGCAGAAATGCGAGGCGCTGGGGGGGCCAAAGTCAGGGAGTATAAAATTCTACCCATAGTGGCTAATCTAGTGGATAATCTCTATCAACATATCTGCATATGTATGTAGCATCTGTAGGCAGAGGTACAAGATCTTGATATTGAAAGCATTCTGGTTTTTATTTGCAGCCTGAGTATTGATCAGTCATGATTGAGCGTGCGTGTAGAGAACAGAAGAGGCAGAGCGCTTTGGCCGAAATGTAATCTCGGAACACACCAGCTATAGTCTGATGACGATTTAGTTATTTTTTTCTAATTCATCTGCATTGATATGCAGACATCTGATATTGAAATCAGCTGAATTGTTGTCCAGACCTGTCTCAAGTTGCTAATCAAACTGTAATCGATGAGCAGTGCACGGAAGAGGAAGTCTTGGTCCAGATATCCACTGGTTACACCGGATCTCCTGGAATATTAGCTGTTGCCCCCAGAAGCTTCATCATTGGCAGCCGATAGCGGATGTGATCAGAGGTTGCTTCAGGACTCATCAGGTTACTGGTGTCGTAAATGAAGACAGTACTCTACAGAAGTAGCCGAAATGAAAATATAAAACTTCATTTATACATCACCCTTGAAGCAGAGATGCAGCTCAAAGTGCTTCATAACACAGGATTTAAATGAGGAAACATGATAAAACAGAACACTCAAACAATGATCAACAAATCTTTGAACAATTCAGACAATAAAGTGTATAAAATATATATAAATATCCATCATGTCAAATCATTTCTGTCCCAGAAACTTTATTAAAAAAAAACTATTTCAAGAACTTTCTAGAAATGTCTGTCTTACAAAAGGTAAGAAAGAGACTGTTTGGGCCGCTCGTTAGCTCACCTGATAGAGCAGAAGCAGCATGTACAAAGGCTTTTTCCTTGCCACAGCGGTCGCAGGTTTGATTCCATCCTATGGCCTTTCACGCCAAAACAATTATCTGCTCAATTAAAGGCAAAAAAGACTTAAAAATATCTTAAAACAAAAAAGATAGAAACTTCTTGGTGAAAAAAAACTTCACACAAAAATGTCTTTATGGACTTGGCTTTGTGCCTCAGGACATTGTCAAGTTAACACAGGGGAGGATCTACTTCAAACTGCTGCCATGAAGTTGGAATCACACTATTGGCTGTGTCCACTATTCAGATGATCAGTGGTTCGATCCCTGGCTCATCCTGTCCTACGTGGAAGTATCCTTGGGCAAGATACTGAACCCCAAAGTGCTCCTGATGTGTGTGAGAGTGTGTGAATGCTTACTGAGTAGCAGGTGGCACCTTGTATAGTAGCTTCAGCCACCAGTGTGTGTGAATGGGTGGATGTGATGTAGTGTAAAATACATTTGAGTGGTCAGAAGACTAGAAAGGTGCTATACAAGTGCAGTCCATTTACCATTATTGTATGATGCAGCATTAAGAAAGTAAAAACCCCTTTTCAATTTCTTAAAAATACCAAGCAAGTAAATGATTCTACATAAAATACATCTTAAATTCATAAAAAACGCAATTTATTAATTAAATAAAAATGTATTCTAGTATCTGATAATGATTAATAATAAGAATAAAGATAATGTGCCTGATGACAGCCAGAGCAGCAGGTTTATTAGTGCATTTTTGTTGTGAGGCCGTTGTGTGACTGTTGAACAGGGTGTGGGCCTCACACAGCGTCAAGGGAGTGATGTCATCCTTAAAATCTGCCAGAGAACTGGAACACATCGTTTCTGATTGTTAGCAGGCGGATCACTGAGTATGTATGTATCTGTGTGTGTGTGTGTGTGTATGTGTGTGTGTGTGTGAGTGTGTGTAAGAGAGACACAGAGACCATTGCTATGTATGTTCTTGAAGTCTGTTTGCTTAAGCCTGTCGTGTTCTTTGGTTTCTTTTTATTCCGCTTGGTCAGAATAACGACGGGACTAATGTTCATGGGAGAAACTGCTCATGTGGAGTGTGTGTGTGTGTGTGTGTGTGTGTGACAGGATAGCCCAGCCCCCTGGTGATCTCATTTCAGGCTCTCACAGTCCACCAGATTGCCATGACCTCAGCTTTAGCTCCAGTAGCTTTTAGGAGAGAGCAGTCATACAGCTTCCAAATTCGTCACACAGCAACTTCCCCACCCTCCTTGTCCACACACTCACACACACCCAAACACCCGAACCACTCGTACGACCCCGCTTCTTCTTCTTCTTCTTCCTCCTCTGGCCTGAGAACTGAGGCCTCTGTGCCACATCACTTGTATTTGCCCGACGATTAGCTTTGCTCTCTTTATTAGCATTAGCAGCCAGAAGGAGCGCTTTCAACTCTAAATCAGTTAAGCTCCTTTCACAAGTGCACTTTAATCCATAAATATTCTGGCAGTTTTACACGGCGGCATCATGTGTGAACACAAACTGGAGGTCCGTCAGCATCGCTCTGGCAAATTTCCAGAGACAGACGAGTGAGATTTTCATAAATCTGTGAATCAAAGCGGCAACATTCCCACATACAGCATGTGCTACAGGGAGGTTACATCATCTCACGATGGGGGGAAATCAGCTGGAGAAGATGAATCATTGGATCTCTGCTTTGAAGGTCTTTCTGCGATGATTTGATATATCTGCATCTGTTGTTTGAGGTACAAGCAGCTGCAGTACAACATCACAGGATCACAGCTGTCGGTTGGCAGACGAGAGCCTCAACCTGCCTTAGATTTTAAAAACACTCTTTATGACATGCTTTATCTTCAGTGCAGAAAGCCAAGACACTGCAAAAATGATTACATCAATATATCAATGTTGAGGTTTAAGCCAGAGCAGACCTTTAAAACTTGAAAGCTGGGTAGGATCAAGACCTTTGACTGTTCACGACACCTGTACCAAAGATAAACAACAGGTTTTATGACAGTCAGACAGATGCTCATGGATTTACGTCCAAATCTCCACCAGGCAACGCTCTTCTTTGGCAAAACTGTTGCTTCCTAGCAGAAACATTTTGGGGACATTCTTCATTGGCTTAGGTTACAATATCCACGGAGTTCAGTTTGGACAAACCATCATTGATTTGTGGCCAAATTTTGCGAAAAGCCAAACTGGTGGCGCCTCCTATGGAGCAATTTCACATTTATTTAACACACGTGGTTCAACATTATTGTTTAACATTTTCTGCAATCGGCCAGTGTTTTTAAAATCCAATGAGACATCAACAAGCCTTTAATAAGGTTTCAGCCCTTCTTGTTTGAGCCCCTAATTAAATGCGTAAAGTCAAATAACTACTTGAAAAACTTGAAAATAAAACAATTAATGTGAATAATTACATTCAAGATTTCTGATCATATATGACTTTAGGGTCACCCCCAGAAAATCACATTTTGAAGGTTTTATCGAGCTGACGACTATGTTTGGCTCACAACTGCTTCGTAAGCAATATATCAGACAAATTAACATTGATAAAGTAGTACCATTAGGCACAGTAGAATGGGACACATCCAAACTTAGATTCCGTCATGTTTCTTGGACTTCCGTAACACAAAGAGGGGTTACAACTAAACATGACAGCTTATTTTGCTTTTAAGAGCCAGAGCTATAGGTATGTTGTCTGAGGGTTAGATACATAAATCAGTTTATCAGTAAGCCTCAATTAATCATTAACATTCAACCATATCAGTCCAACCACTGGGACTGATATGGTCGAATGACATCATTTTTGGCATTTTCACACAAATTTGGCCGAGAGAATAAACTTCCTTTCATCTTTAAAATGAATTTTTAAAATCAATAATTGAGGCAGCCTCAGTGAGAATTCAGAACACTCCTATTCTGTGTCGTCCTCTTCTTCCAACTGGTGATGTATAAAGCATCTATCAAGAGAGCTACATGAAGTGTGATATGTGAACAGACTTGCCATGAGGGGTTTGTGTGAACAGGTTTTTAGTCAGTCCTGTGAATCTAGTGTGTGAGTGAAGTGAGTTCATTTACAGCTGAGGACGGAGATGAGAAACAAAAACGTCTAACCTGAAATGAATCATAAACTCATGTAAACTGAATTTATTCACCTTTTTAGATATGAAATGAAGTCACAAAGTGCAGAGTAGAGTCTTGGTGTAATTTCTTTGCATATATATATGGACCATTTTACAGTCTGCAAACAATAGCCCCTTTCACGGCGCCTGTTCAGAGTGGGAATATCACGCCGTTATGCTGCCTCACCATTTTTTGTACAAGGTATTATTGTGAAATTGGGGGAAGAGTGGTCTCACCCTTAAGCCGCCACAGCAGGTAGTGACAGCACCAAAATGATATCTGTATAAACACGACAGCCTGCCATGGGATCATGGACGGCACAGGTTTTACATTTTGCACTGTGGGAAATTTATAAAGTTGCTGTTAGCAGTTAGCGGCTAACTCAAAGAAGAACAAAGGCTCTAAATGTCTGCAAATTGGGGAAACGGTGAGGTAGCTCCTTACCCTCTTAGCAGGGGATGAGATCAGCAGTCATATAACAGGGATGGTAAATGTTGTTATTGACACATTAATGCCGTTGTTGTTGTTTAGAAAGCCCTGCCAACGTGCATGTTTTATGTCACACTTGAGGCCAATGCTATTGTGTTACATGTCACACCTGTCACACCTCTTTTGATTCCGCAAAGCTGCAATGCAGTGTATAATCGCACACTGGAGTGGAATGATGTCGTCGTCGTTTGGTTCTGCGTAAAAAATGCAATGGTGGTATGAAGAAGTGACTTTGTGGCACAGTCTTTGTGTAAAAAGGGCTAATGCTTGTGGGAATAGAGAGGCAAACCACACATATTTTTTGGGGATGTCACAAGCTACACCAAATCTGGGAAAATTGGAATGTTACAATTAAAGAAATTCTAGGATGTGCAGTACCTAATAACTTCAAAATTAAGTACCTTGGATATACAAATGATTGTGTCGTGGATTATGATACTGTAGATACTTGGCTAAGATGTTATTGATCACAAGCAAGAAGGCAACAACAAGGAATAAGCACAAGACTGAATCCCCTACTATAGAACAAAAGGTGGAAATTATAAGAGAGATTTGTGCTATGAAAAAAATGACCTGTCAGCTTAGAGTGAGAGAAAATGTTTTTGTTTGTAAAAGGAAGAAATGGATGATTTATGACACAGTAGAAAAAACATCTGGACTAACTGATACATGAACTTCAAGATACTGGACACAGATATGACATGTGTAACCATGACTATTAGTTTGTACCTTTACCTTCCTGATTGTGTGAAGAATGTTGTGAGTTGTTACGAAAGATACATATGGTCGAACACACAAACTAAAACTCAATTAACATTAAAGTATAAAAAAATAAAATAAAAAAAGGGCTAATGATGACGTACCAAAGGCTGGGCATGCAGAATGGTAACGGAAGTGTGGTAGAGTGCAATAGCTTGTCAAGCAGGGGCATGAAGCACCAAAGATTGCGAATGCTACCAAAGCATATTGACAAATAGTGTGTCCATCTTCCAGATCAAGTCGCCCAATAATCAGTGGCCAGATATATACATACATGTGGTGGAGACATGTAGCGTGTACATCAGCAAGACAATACAAGCATACAAGTCACAAGATGCTTATGCCTGTGTAATCTGTGGTCATGTACAGAACGTCAGATTTCATGACACAGACTCAGAGTTATGTATCTTGAAATCAAAAATCTTCCCAAGTCAAAGAGGACACTAGACCACATTGTACGAAGCTTGTGTCAAACAGAAAGGTTCAGAGCTCAGCAGTACAGTTGTTAGGCAAACATGAATTCTGCTTCTGTTTCACTGTAACAGAAGAATTTTTGATCGTGTACTCAGTGTAGTGTCAACACATTAAAAAGGCTGCAGTCATAGACGTCGCTGGGGTCTCAGTTTAACGAGGGGCTGTGTTTACTTGTGACTTTCAGCTGAATGCATCCGTGGTAGCTTGTAAATGGTTGGTGTCGATAATAAACACAGATGAGTGTGTATTTAAAATTGATTAAAATAAAATTGAAGGCATTTTGTTGGTGTTTCCGACAGCTGTTGTCACTATGAGTAACCACAACTCAATAGGCTGAGTCACTAGTTAACACGGGCAGTTGTTGAGTCGAAACACCCGTTACTCTGAAACTGTTGTGATCCTGAACTTGAGTCTGCTGCAACAAACAGATATTTTTATGCTGGAAAAACTTTCAATACAATGTTTACCTTTACCTTCTCCTCTACAGACTGTGGAGTACAACATCTTCGAGGGCACAGAGGTGCGCGGCGGGCCTCTGGTGGTCATCAGCCAGGGCAAGATCGTCTTGGAGGAAGGGAATCTCCACACCACTGAGGGCTCGGGACGCTTCGTAGCCCGCAAACCTTTCCCTGACTACGTCTACAAGAGGATAAAGGCTCGCAGCAGGGTACAGTGCTGATTCTTTTTGCTCTGCTAGTATCTGTGTTTAATTATTGTAGCTGATTCCATATTGGCAACTCATTAAACAGCTGCTTGTGCAAAGTTTGTCCAGTGAAGTTGTGATTGTTGACAGGGAGGCTCCACACCCAGCTTTTTTTTATTATGATTGATTGTTTTGTGGAAAGCTGGAGGGATGATGCAGCTCATTACAGATCGGCCCCAAACTTGGAATAACTCCTTGTCCGTTTTCATTGCTTTGAGTGTTGTGTCTGTTTTCTTTTTAAAATGCAGCTGGCTGAGCTGAGGGGCGTACCCAGAGGACTGTACGACGGTCCGGTCTGCGAGGTGTCAGTCACACCTAAAACTATGACTCCTGCCTCCTCTGCTAAGACCTCACCTGCCAAGCAGCCCAACCAGCCCGTCCGTAATCTGCACCAGTCTGGTTTCAGTCTATCTGGTCAGTGCAAACATTAGTCCATAATCACTGTGTTAACTTGTTTCCCTCTCAAAGTGAATAAATCCTAATGTTTAATGGTGCCGCTGTAACAGTTTAAACTTCTGCTAACTGCTAACAGCTAAAGCCTCATTTACACTGCAAGCGACTACACAAACGTTCGCTGTTTACTCACATTTTCATTTTGGCGAGCATGTTAACAGGTTAGAGCATTCACACCGCATCTGTTCTACGCGCTGCTCGAGTTGCGCTGCTTTTGCGAGCAAGCTTGAAAATAGAAGAGCGAGTCGCGAGCGACCGGTCGCTATATTCAACGTGCGGTGGCCGAGAGAGGTCATGACACATGCAAACCCATATTTAGTAGTAATACAAAGCAGACAAAGACTACTTACCCATTTGTAGTGCTAAATATTAATTCTCCAAGTGTTGGAATAATCACTGGTGCTCGAACCTGTCCACCCTGGGCTTTGGGTCCAAACTCACTTCTTCGCATTGCGAAGGCATCGCTTGCGGTGTAAATGAGGCCTAACTGTTGACCAGAAGCTTCACAACAAAACGTCAACTCCTCAGCTCGAGATGAGCCAGAACCTTTAGAAATAAAGCAACAGTGGTTCTTCTTGATATATTTCATTATAGCAGTACTTCATTTAACTTTATTATAACAGTACTTTGTCAGCTTTACTATAACAGTATTTTATTTAACTTTATTGTAACAGTTCTTTACTAAAACAGTGTTTCCTTTAACTTCATTATAACTATTGTTTATTGTAACAGTACTTTATTTACCTTTATGATATTACTTTAATTTTATTGTAACAGTAATTTATTTAACTTAATTCAAACAGTATTTTATTTTACTTTATTTTAACAGGACTTTATTTAATTTTTTAATATTAGTACTTTATCATTATTATAAAAATGCTTTAACTTTTTGTAACATAAGTTCGTTTAATAGTTAATTATTTTAGTAACCTACAGTGGTTTAGAGGAGATTTGTAAAATATCAAAATATATGCTGTGTATCCCGATACAGCCTAAAAATATTTATCATTTTGTTATTGGCCATATCGTCCAGCTCTATTTACAAGTACATCTTTGCCTGTAAACTACTAATTAAAAATCGATACTTAGAATCAATAATACTGTTGTTGAAGATCGACACAGTATCATCAAACGTAATATCGCAATTCTCGAGTGTATCAATAATACCTTATACCCCTGCTTTTGAGCAGTGCTGCTACTCGATGCCATAGACATCCATAAATTCAGCTGCGCTCAGCATTCAGGACAAGGTCCAGGGAGTCAGTTGGAAAAATAAAATAAAGAGATAGCCCCCAATTACCGAAACATCAGTTTAAACAACAGAGTCTAAACACAACTTTGATTAGCCAACCCTCTTTTTGATCTCACAGGTGCCCAGATTGACGACAACATTCCTCGCCGGAACACCCAGCGCATCGTGGCGCCACCAGGCGGCAGGGCCAACATCACCAGCCTGGGTTAGAGGTCCGCCCCTCGGCCGCTGAGGAGGAAACAAAGGTCTGAGGAAGGACGGCCTACAGGAGCTGAGGGGTCAAGGAAAACCCACGTCACGACACCAGGAGCCGAACCCTTTCGCAGCACCCGACCGGGCCATCCGTCAGCCTCGATCTTTCACCTCCTCCTTCGCCGCTTTTCACGTACCCACTCTCCTCCTCCCCAAAAACCCGAGCCTAGAGGACACAGTTAGAAACAAAAAAAAAGGTCTGCCTCATATGATTTAAAAAAAAGAGAAAAAAATGAAACACTCCTTATTTGAGCACTTTTGACTGCGTTATTTTGTTTTTTTTATACCGTCTTTTCTCCCTGCCATATTTCCTTCTGATGTTTGTTTTACTGTTGTTTTAATAGAGGGATCCAGTGAGACTAAACTGAAATAACACAGTTAAGAGAAGTGGAACATTTCATGCAGGATGTCCATAATATTTCCATTCTGTCTTGTCATTTCTGAAGCAGTTTAAATGGCGTACGGTTATTAAACCAGTGTTGTCGTCTTCTTTTCTTGTTTCTCCTGAATAGGCCAAACACTAGGCTGCTTTAAATCCAACAGTCTTATAGTTAATTCAGCCGAAAAGAATCAAACACTTCTTTCAAGCTGTCTGTGATTTGTATTATGTTGCATTTCAGTTGCTTCACTTTCCAGTGCATCGCCATCTGTCACACACTCCTGTAGTCAATACCCAATTGATAATTCGCCAGGATGACGGCCTTAAAGGTTCGAAAAGTTGAACAGTCCAGCGATCTTTTATTAGAGTTATTGACTCTGGCTGCACTGGCTCTCATCTCATGTTTTCCCACCTGTGGCTTTGCTAAGGTACATAAGTAAAAAACCATATTCCATATTTTGGCAGCTGCCTTAGAGCTTGTGAGTCTTGTGGAGCAGAAGGAGCTTTGGCAGGTAGTAAATAGAGCTTTATGCCTCATCTGAGTGTGGAGAGGGAGAATTGATGGAAGGATTTAGGGAGGAAAAGGAAAGTTGTACGCGCTGTCATTTGAAACTCAACCTTTCCTTGCCTTATTGACTCTTAATGCCGTCCTTTTAGAAAATTTCACCACGCAGCTACATACTTTCCGGTTTGTTTGCATTCCTGTGAATCATAAAGGTCCACTTTTCTTTTTTTGTTTGTTAATTAAACGCTGTCGGCGCAGCCATCATCACCAACCAGTGCATTTACATACAGAATGTTTCTCCTCCTCCAAATGTGACTGTTTTATACTCATCGAAATCCCTCTTTCTTTTCTACTCTTTATGTGCCTGAACCCACAGAAGTTGTACTGATAGTTTTAAAAAATGTTTGTTGTTTTGTTATTCTTATTGAGGTAAGTGAAGGATGTAAGATAAAAAAAAGAAAAGATGTAAAATAGCCAGGATTAACCGATTCAAAGGTGCCAGACTTTGCGCTTTCGTAGGGCCTATTCTGCCGGTAGAGCCCCTGTAAAGACGAAAAAATGCTCGATATCTTGAAATGTTCTAATGTTTTAGAGTTTTTAACTTGTTGTCAAACTGCTTTTTAGTGTCATTCTGTAACTAGGTGCCTAAGGGCTGAGCACTATTGATTTACGCTTGAAAGTAGACATGAGCTAATGTGCTTCTGAATAGTGTGCAGTGTTGATGTGTGAGGGATGGGACACGCGCAGCAGCAGGCTCCTGTACAGCACTCTGAACTGTTGTGGATGTGACATCGCTCAGGGCCGTGCTGAGCGCTCATACACTCTTTTTTTTTTTTGTGCATGATCTGGTTTTCATTAAGCCAAGCAACTGATTTCCTGTGTTAGTTCTTATGTCAATGAGGTCTTGGCCACTACTCACCATCCCTCTGCAGCCTTTTTCTTCCCCATGACTCAACACGGAGCAACGAGCTCACCCTGACACGGACATAGGGGCCAGTTACTTCAATCTAGAGTAAGAAATTAGACTTAAACAACAGGCTTACTCACACATATACATTCACGCATACATACATATATAATGTAGATACAGACGACACCACCTCTGTTTGTGCTTTCAACCCCAGTTGTTTCACACTCCCTCCCCTCTGATCTAACTGGGAGCCTATAGAAGGCAAAGTCTGTCAGTGCTGCGCGTGGTATATGTGTAAAGCATCCACAGCGGGGGGGAATGAAACATGTCTGAGACAAGACAGGAATGAGAAATGGAAACCTGATCTCCACGGCACCTTACGCATCACACGACAAGGTTTTTGTTAGTCAGGAGTGGGGAATTTGACCCCGTCTGTCTGACACAGAGCTCCACTGCTGCCTCTTTTCCCTGATTGTTTCTCACTCTAATTACCCCAAGAAATTCCCAGAATAAGTGACGGCATTGTGCGTTTCTGCAAATCACAGATATGTTAAATTTGTACGTTATGTCGCGAATGAAGCTGTGGTTATTGTGTGTTAAAGCTGAGGCACAAAAACCACCTGGTTATGGTTAGGAAAAGATCACGTGTGGCTTAAAATACCTGATTTTGGAAACGCAGAAAAATACTTCTCGTGGCACTATCCCTGCAGGAAGTGATACAATATGTCGATAATATGACGGCACCAGTTAGTTTCTGGGCTCCTTTTTTGAAACCTTGAGTTCAGCATTTTTGCCGTCACTGTCGTGGTTTTTTGGAGCCAGAAGTGGCCATATTTGGACAAGGGGATGGAGCTGTGGAGGAGGGAGAGGTGGATCGGATTCATAGACATGTGGTGACACGTCACAGACAGCCTGATACTCAGTCGCCCCCACCTTTAATTTTAAGCCCTGATAAAGTGGGTTTACAAATTGAGTTGTGTATGTACAGCTGTCATGAATGTTGAAATTAGCTACAAAGACCAAAACAAACTTCCATACCAGGTTGTAAATAAGTTTCTTGACTCACTTTTGGAGCCAGCCCCAAGTGGCCATTCGAGGAACTGCACTTGCATTGGCTTCATTTTTCAGTCCTGGAGGTTTCCGCTTGGTGGAAACATAGCGAAAGATTGGTAAAAAGCCTCTGAAAGATGCAGTGATGGCTTACTAAAAAACTTCCGTTGTTGGTATGAACAGTGGTTTGCAGCTTGGTGTCTTGCATCCACCATCTCCTCCGTCTCCCAATGGTAAAATCAGCCCAAAAAACTTGCCACGTCACTTTAGACATGTTGATATATGTATAAAACATGGTCTGCTGAAACGTACAATGCCAACTCTCGTCCCTCTCTTCTAGACCCAGTCTACAAGATATTAATCCTTACAAATAAACTTTAGGCGGGAGAGTATGTGGCGGGAAAAGATGGTAGTTAAAATCCCTAAACACTGACACATTTTGGCAGCAGGCGTAGCTCTGGTGAGAGTAATAGCATGCTCCTTGTATTTTTGTATTTTCCATGTCACTCCTTCCTTTCAGTTTGTCTTTACCCCTCCCTCTTTGCCTTTCATCCCCCTTCTTTTCTTTCATTCCTCCCCTCCCTCCCTCTCTGGCTCCTTCGTTGTTTCTGGCTGTTGCCGAGGCGACAGACCCCTCCACTCTCGCAGGGTTCTGCTTTTTGTTTGTCATGGCAACGCTTGTCAGATCGGAGGTTGCCGTTAGCAACCTGTCCTGACCTGGTGCTATGAGTACAGCTTTGCGTCTGCACACACACACTCACACACACACACACAGACAGGTTTTTATAATTATTCTGTGACAGCTCTGCAGCATTTCTACATAATCCTGTGCTGAGTTGCATGGAATCCTGAATCCCCCGCTGCTTAAAAAGAATCTATTAGAGTTGAAAGCGCACTACAGACTACAGAAGAAACACACACACACACACATACACACAGCAAACAGCCGTTGCTGTGATGCAGCACCCATGCCTGAAGAATTGACTCGGACATTAAAAAAACAGCTGTCAGCGTTGGCACCCTCGCCGTGTCCCATGCCTCCTCGACGCACACACACTAAAACACACACATATACTCCTTTAATGCTCTGTCAGCTTGGATGCTTTTTCTATGCCATATTATGCTAATGATATATGAGTGATATGTATGTACGCAACGTGCTGCAGGCTGAGAGGAGCTTCCTTCCGTTCGGAGGTAGTCGATGCTGTTGAACACCTTCTCGCTCCCTGAACCTTTTCGCCCCCCCCTCTGTAAGCCTTCCCCCCACCCCCCTTGTGAAAGTGAAACTGTGTGATGGTATTTGTCTTGGTGGCTGTGGGGTTTCTGGGATGCTTGCTCACTATGGAAAAAGTGTCAAATCCCGTGGATGGTGATGTAAACAAAACAACAAGGACTTCGAAGAATTAAAAAATGAGAAAAAAAGGAATCGAATCTCTGTTTCTTTTGTTTCGGACTTTCATGGTTTATGTAGACACGACAAAGGAAACGTTCACAAAAACATGACAGGTGTCTGTTAAGATTACTTTTTGCTCGGTTTTCTTGTCGATGGTATCAAAGAAGAAACAGCCAACATCACTGGAATGACATTTGGCAAAGGCTTTGAGCCCCAAGGTTCCAGTTACATGACACAACCGTGTTACAACTAGTTTGGACCACTTAATTGAGTACATGTAGAAACAGATCTTTCAGCACCAAGGCCTCAGTCTGAGCTGTGCATACTGACTCATCACTTTCTGTAACTGAATCAGTAGAGTGGTGGTAGAGCTCCACTTTCTGGTGACTGAAGCAGAATTTTACTTCACGGCTAAAAGACCATGAAAACAGCAGAAACAGTCATGATAGGATAACTACAGCAGAAAGGTGGCTGCAAAGCTTATGAATGGTGCTTACATAGACTTAACGCTTCAGTATGCTTCAAACAAACATGACGCCTGCACATTGGTAAAGGCAAAAGTACTAACACTTGTCTCGAATGGTTACACTCAAGTGCAGGGCAAAAAGCTTGCTTGCTGTTGCCGCTAGTCGAGTGACCATGGCAACCACAGAAACCAGGCAGGGAAACAAAACAGGAGCTGATTTTACTGGAATCCGAGTTTCCTGAATAATACACCTCCTCAACTGCAGAGAGTAAACATAATAATGAGGAGAAACTGCCTGCGAGCAACATCAGCGTCTGATTATCCGGTCTGAGACGGATGACTGCAAAACATTTTTATCAGGAGAGACTGCAGAGAAGGTCGAAAGTACACTGGAGTGCACGGACGAGAGGCAACAAACTTTGCTGAAGACTCAAGATGCATCGTCAAAGTTTGTTGCCTCTCGTCCGTGTGCTCATGGGTGGATTATGAGACAACGGGCCCTTGGACACAGATATGCAAAGGGCCCTGTCCATTCCTTTTTATTTAGAAGAAGTATACTTGATTAATCCCTGAGGGGAAAATACACACACATAGACAAACTGGACCTATACTTGCATTAAATGGTGAGATGTCAGAGTTGGGTTCAGTACCTTGTTCAAGGGCGCCTCGGCAGTGCCCAGGAGGCAAACTGGCACCCCTCCAGCTACCAGTCCACACTGCATACTTGGTCCTGATAGGGACTTAAGTTGGTGACCCTCCGGTTCCTGACCTCAGACCCTATGGATTAAGCTACTGCCGCCCCCATTTGCATCTCCTTGTAGCCTTCATGCATCTTTTTGGTTGTTTGGTTCTCTTTCAGGTAGGTTTTTCTTCTTCGGTTTTCTTGTGTCTCTTTGTGCCCATTTTGAATCTGACCAAGAAGGTTGGTACGTATTAATTCAAGTGGCATTTTGCAGGTGAAGGCCACAGCGCCCCCTTAACACTTGGGTCCCTGTGCCTGTGCCTGGTAGGCCCGTTCAGTAATCCATCCATGCGTGTGCTCCGGTATACCTTGAACCTAATTTCTGAGCTCGCCTCTGATTTAATATTGCTCTTCTCCGAGAGCAGCAGACAGACCTGTCATTCCTCGAACATGCTGTAAAAGCACCTTTACATCCTCCCAGCTGCATCACACTGCCTATCTGATCTCTCTCCAGAAACTCTCACAGTCTTGACACAGTGACTTGTACAAGTGCCAAAAGCTGTGCTCACTTTCGTAGAGTCTCTCTTTGAAAGGATTCTTGACGCTGCACTCAGTTCAATGCATTAAAAGTGACAAAAATAGCTCGCGTGAAGAATGAAAATTGAAACCCTGCCTTCTTTCTTTCACTCCTCCGCACACCTGGCCAGCTGCTGTTTAAAGCATTCAGAAAGGCGTTTTCAGACACAACAATAAACTCATTCTGTAACAGCAAATCTTCAGAGCAGCATGGTAGTCGTCTCAGAGTCACAACATCCTGTCTTGAACTCAAAACAGCCAACTGAGACTTTCTGTTTCCTTTGACAGCTTAAGACATGAAGATGAGGTGACCTGGAAAGGCTAGACTGCACATAGGTGTGAATGTGTTTGCCTTTCCGGCTGCTAGCCTCGTTTACACCCCACCTTACACCGACTGCATGCTGGAATAGTCTCCAGCTGGACGGGATAACCAGGTCACAAAAAACTAATTTAACTCACTGGCCTACTGCCTTGAGAACACTTGGGCAGGGTGTTAACATCACATAAACTTCTGCATACTGCATGCAGTCAATCACTACCAGGAGGATGCACTATGTATTTCTCCACTAGGTGGCAGTGCTGTCATCCTGTTCACTCACCACTCCTCTATTTGCCACTGTGTTGAGGGGTTTCCTTTTTTTTCAGCTCCTGAATGAAGAATAAAATGATATCAGTGGTTAGAGGGTTAAAATTACAATCCTACAATTACAATCCAATTACAGTGATATTCATGTTGGATAGATACCACATTAGCTGTGATTAAAATAAATGGAATAGTAAGTGGTAACCAGCTATCAACCTGTCAGGTCTGCTCCCAAGAGACTTAAATTGAAACCCCCCCCCCCCCTATTCCCTGCACAGCTGAGAATTAAAACTGTTTCCAACATAAAAGCTTTCTTTGTCTTCAGAGGCACTTTCATGTGCCGTCCTCACAGGCACAGGGAAAACTGTGAGAGAAGATGACAAAATAAATGCAGAGTAAATAAACTGTTTGAGATTCAAATGAAAAGTTTAATTTGTGTTTTCTCTCTCGGCAAGGATGTTGTGTTTGTCTTTAATCCTGGCTTGCAATTCAAAAGGAAAGTTCACCAGTATTTTCTTCAGGAGATCAGCCTTCTGTCTCATCCATAAAGTCATTAAATTAACTGTACACTATGATGTTCATCAGGTGTATCCCTGCCCAGCTTCACAAAGATGATCCACACTATAGCATGTGTATGTATGTGTGCTTGTGTCACGCAGAGGCTACTGTAGATGCCACCATAGTGGTCCTGCTTGTGTGCAGTGATGCCGTACAGAGCCCTCTAGTGGCCACTTTATGCCAAGTCAGGGGTCTTTATGAAGGCCAGTCAACTTTTTCCACATTCACTGTTTCTGTCATCCCACTGTCATCTGAATGGCTACCGCACATCCATTTTCTGTACCCACTTATCCTGTGCAGGGTCATGAGGTGCTGAAAATCTGCATCTGGATCATGACACAATGGGCCCCTGGACACTGACAGGCAAAAGGCCCCACCACTTCTCACACATAGGAGCAAGACAGAGAGATTTTATAGTTGTTGAGGTCTTTTTGTTGTTGTTTTGACAATATACGTCTTTTTGTGGTGATTTGTGCATGATTTTGTGTCTCTTTGTGGTCATTTTGTGTCTATGTGGTCACTTTGTGTCTTTTGTGGTCATTTTGTGTCTATTTGTGGTCATTTTGTGTCTCATTGTGGTCATTTTGTGTCTCTTGTGGTCATTTTGTGTCTTTTTGTAGTCCTTTTGTGTCTTTTGTGGTCATTTTGTGTCTATTTGTGGTCATTTTGTGTCTTTTTGTGGTCATTTGTGTCTTTTTGTAGTCATTTTGTGTCTCATTGTGGTCATTTTGTATTTCTTTGTGGTCATTTTGTGTCTCCTTGTGGTCCTTTTGTGTCTATTTGTAGTCATTTTGTGTCTCTTGTGGTCATTTTGTGTCTATTTGTGGTCATTTTGTGTCTCTTGTCGTCATTTTGTGTCTCTTGGTGGTCATTTTGTGTCTATTTGTGGTCATTTTGTGTCTCTTTGTTGTCATTTTGAGTATCTTTATAATTGCTTTATGTCTCTTTGTGGTCATCTGTGTCTTGTTTGTAGTTGTTTAGTGTCTCTTTGTAGTCATTGTGGTCTTTTTTGTAGCTGTCTGTCTTTGTTGTCACTTTTTGGTCTCTTTTCAGTCATTTTAAATCTCTTTGTAGTTGCTTTGCATCCCTACTCTGTAGTCATCTTGTGTCTTTTTGTGATTGCTTTGCCCCTTTTCTTAGTCACTGTGAGTCTCTTCTTCACTCCTAGCAGCTGTTTTGCATTTCTTTGTAGATGTTTCATGTCTCTTTGTGGTCATTTTGAGCCTCTCCCTGGTCGGTATACATTATTTTGAATGACATTTTGCAGGTGGAGGCCAGGAGAGTCGCTCACACTTTGCAAGGTAGGCCCTTTCTCCTGCAATCCATCCAAGCACATAAAGACAGCCAAGTGTTAATGCTCACATTCGCAACTATGGAGGATTTAAAGTCGATTTACCTGAGCTACTGTCCTGGGACTGTTGGACAGAGAAAGGTTTGAGCCAGCCAGCTCAGGTCTGAATTCAGATGTAAAACAGAGGACTCTTGTGACATATAGGAGGCTCAGTAATAATAGTCCCAATGTCCACAAACCTTGTCCACTTTTTGTGTCAGGGTCGGCTGCAGACTGACTTGGCAGAGATGGCTGCCATCTTGTTTTTACATGGATTAGTGTCTTGTGGTCTTACTACAACTAATTGGCACAAAAAGGGACAAAGGCGCTGGTTGAAAATCTGCAAACTTTCTCTTTAATATTATGTTTCCCAACTGATGCGGCACTAAGAGTGCCTCAACCCAGATGTCCCTGACCAGACTGAGCTCGGTATCCAAAACAAAAAAGATAAAATCATAGTTATGGCATGCGGCTTTCTCAAGAGGTGAGTATGAGTGTTTTTCATACACATGTGTGGGTGGTTCCCGGTGAATTCAATGACAGTGAATGATGAGAAAAGGAGCCTGCTCTTCCCTTGTGCCTGTACAAAATAGCCAAACTAAGTCTTGTGTAATTTCCCTCACACTAAATACACTGCATTTGTCTCCACTGTCACGACTGTAGGACAGTAAGGATTACGTTGACTAAAGCCCTCAAATTAAATGGTTTCGCCAGGACAAAAAGTAAATAAATAAATAAATAAACTGTGAAGTCAATTACTGCTCTTTGACTTTGTGGGGCACAGTGGATCAAACAAACTGCTTTACAGTGTTTACTGAATTAATTAGGGATTTTCTGA